AACACACCAGAACACACAGAACAACACACCAGAACAACACACCAGAACAACACACCAGAACAACACACCAGAACAACACACCAGAACAACACACCAGAACAACACACCAGAACAACACACCAGAACAACACACCAGAGCAACACACCAGAACAAACACACAACAGAACAACAGCAACAACCAGAGCAAACACACCAGAACAACACACCAGAACAACACAGCAGAACAACACACAACAACACACCAGAACAACAATCAGAACAACACACCAGAAGAGCATGGGACTATAGTATTGCAAGTGCTACATCTCCATATGCACAAGGCAGTGAGGCAATCCACTGGTTGAAGAGTCACAGAGCTGTGTTCAATCTCCCACACTGGTACACTAAGTGAAGCCCACTTCCCGTGTTCAGAATATTGCTAACTAATAATAAAACCAAGCTCCCTCCCTCATTCACTCACTCACTGGCTCGATCTACGAGATCCCTCGAATGATTGTCATGGTTGTGATGCTAGAAAGGGGATATAAACCATCAACCTAAGAAGACCTGGAGGAAGTAAAACCTGATTACTGAGAACCTTCCACTCAGGAATAACACAGAAGTTTACAATGGTCCATAAACAAAGTGGAAGTGATTTCACACAACCAATCAGACTCTATCAGCAACATATGAGCTAATAAACCAATTCCAATCCATACACGAGACTCACTGAATCTTCAGTCAAGACTTGGAGACAATATAATTACTTTAGTACATTTCTTCATGGCTGCCAGAATACAAGGTCTAATACGATTTTATGGTCAATCAGTAACTAACTACTTCCTTAACAGTAGTTGTTACTCTTGTTACAGTAACTGGGCCAATCTGATTGGTGAACATGCCAGACAGAGCAATGCCTGTGGAAGCTGACAATCGCCACTGACCCAGATGGTAGGGAGGACCAGGGTCTCACATCAGTTTCAACACATCAGTGTCAGCATGAAATCATTTCTTTTTCAGCAATGATAACAGAGTGGTCTAACCAGCTGACCTTGAGACAATAGTAATGTCTTGTACTCGACCTTGAGACAATAGTAGTACCTTGAGACAATAGTACTGTCTTGTACTCGACCTTGAGACAATAGTAATGTCTTGTACTCAACCTTGAGACAATAGTACTTGTACTCGACCTTGAGACAATAGTAATGTCTTGTACTCGACCTTGAGACAATAGTAATCTCTTGTACTCGACCTTGAGACAATAGTAATGTCTTGTACTCCATTGAGTGTTGACTCGACCTTGAGACAGATGGAGTAATCTCTTGTATGACCTTGAGACAATAGTAATCTCTTGGACACTGAGACAATTAGTGCACTGTTTCTGGAGTGTTGAAATCAGATGGAGAATCTATGTGGAAAATGGACACTCAATTAGTGCATTACCTGGACTACGAGATGATTACCGCTGTCACCAGATCACTGTCAGTCTGTAACAGGCAGGGTGAGAGAAGAGGTTTTGTTGGAGGTTTGGCAGTACAATAGCAGCTGTCAGAGGTTGGGGTGGTCGAATAGAGGAGAGGTCTGTTGGATTTCTGGCAGTACAACTTCTGTGACTGCAGCCTAACTAAATCTTGTATAACGTCTACCTACTTCACCTGGGAGACAACATTTTCGAACAGATCCACGGCCTCCCCATGGGATCCCATCTCTCCCCTATTTTCACAGAAATCTACATGACATTTTGAAGAGCAAGCCCTGGCCTCCTCCCCCATCCAACCTGTCTGCTGGTATAGGGAGGTGGATGACACCTTTGTCATCCTCAGGAAAGACCAGGATCCCACCTCACTACTACAGCACCTCAACACCCAACATCCTCGAATTAAGGTTACAATGGAGACAGAGAGAGACAGCACAGTCCCTTCCTAGATGTCCATGTATCCAGAGACCCCTGCAAGAAGATCCAAACCAAGGTCTACAGAAAACCCACCCACTCCGACCAGTATATTCAGTTCAACTCAAACCACCCCCCAAAAACAAAGTCTGGTGTCATCTCAACCCTGACCAAGCATGCCAAGAACATTTGCTCCAGCAGCCATGACCTAGAACATGAGCTGAACCACCTGCAACATGTCTTCACGATCCTCAACCAGTATCCCACCAACTTAGTCAAGAGGACCATCTCCACCACCCTCAATGACAAACCCAAATTGACCAAGCCTGAGTCCGCCCCCATCAGAATCACCCTACCCAACATCGGCAAGACCTCCCATCAAATCAGCAGACTACTAAAGCACCAAGCAGGCATCGACACCATCTTCACTGGCTCTGCAACCCTCAGGACCATCCTCCTAGCCAATGGCCGCAACCTACCCTCCAAAAAGCAGCCCCCCAAAGGAGTGATCTACAAGATTAATTGTGAATGTGGTGATTCCTATATTGGTGAAACCTCCCGTCCCGTTGATATCCGCATTAAACAACATAAAACCTCAACAGCTTCGTTCCCAGTCTCATTTGTTGTTCTTAGTCTCCCACTGGCCTCTCATAATTATGTACCAGTTGTTATACTATTACATGTTGTTGATAATGTTAATCTGCTGTTGTCAAAACATACTGTGTACATATACCCCTCTACATCTGGTTGTATTCACTTTTAGCTTGATAACGGTGTAAGAATCTACATCGAAACGTCGCTCAATGCAATAAATAAGAAGTTGTCATCCATAAAGTTGTATGTTTCATTTTTGACAAGGTAGAGGTTCGGCCAGATGTTCATGACTCAACATTTTTTAACACATTGTGAAACATGAGTGTAATGTACCCAGCCAAAAGCAAAGATATGACACAAGATATGACACAAGATATGACCAAGATATGACAAAGATATGACACAAGATATGACACAAGATATGACAAAGATATGACACAAGATATGACAAAGATATGACACAAGATAACATATTACTTCACACAACCATGAGGTGGATAATAATATCTTTGTTCATCATGAAAGTACAACGGCTTGACAACGGTAGAATCTGTATCGAAACGTTGCACTCACGAATAAAAGAAGTTTGTTCTATAATGAAAGTAAAAACATATATATTATGTACTTTTTACTTCTAAACATTTCTAAGTCATAGAAGCGACACAAACAAGTAACAACTAAATACCATACATTTTTAAAACAGATATTTTTTGTCAATTTAACCTGGAAGTTGGATCTAGTTTTCCTACTCAACTTGACAAGAACTCTGTAATCACCAGGGAGCAAGTGTGTGCCATGGTTTTTATTCAACCGATCTGTCAGTGGCCTTACGTTCAGGCTGACAGAGTGTCTCCGTGACATGCAGCATCAATAGAGTTTCTTCTTCATATTGGAAAAAATTGGACATTGATTACTTTCCTGAAATCAAACGAGCACTCACCACAATTTCGGCAAGACATTTTTCAATATTTTCTTTTCATGTGAGTAGACACTGCTAGGTCTTATATCCCAGTACTGAAATGGATCAACTCATTACAAGAAGAAATGATTGTAGATACATCGGTATATCATGTCTTATATGAACATTAGTGCACTGGGCAAATCCTATTTCACACAAACACATTTGTTTTCCTTTTCAAGCACATGACAGAAAATGTAGGTAAAGTCTTCCTGCTACCGTCCATCTAATCCTGTGACACTTTGTATGAGTCCTTTCAGCAATGTTGGCATCGCTAGAATGTTTTTGATACAAATCGGCATCATTATCTGCAATTCTGTTTCTTTGAAATCAGAACCTTTCATCAGTAATAAAATACAATCCTGTCTGCATTGTAGATTTATTTTCGTTGCTTACAAAATCAGCATAATGATGTTTCTGTGGTTTCAATGGCTAATCATCCCAGCATCCAACACCGGTGTATGAGGCACCGAATGGATGGCACTTATGATGAATCTAGTCACACATGACAACAACTGATCAAAGTGTGGCCACTATAAGACCAGTAATTAGTCACTGGGAACTCGATTGATGACCACCATATATGAGTGTGTGTCTAGACAGTTGTGTGATGAAAGAAATGTCAGACACACAGCGACGAAAGTTGACATCGTGTGTGGCCACAACATCCCCGACATCTCTTCATGACCAACTTCGGTCATAACAACAGATATGAAGAGTTCCCAAGCAAAACCAGGAGACAGTAATACAAGGCTTGTATCAGGTATCAAACATGTTTTAATGTATGCAAAAAATGCTCCCTATCTAACATTCATTAAGCCTGTTGTGAGGAATATCATGGAGCATGGACAGATCTGGGCACACTCGCATTTACAGACAGACAGTCAGACAGACAGAGCCTTTCTCTCTCTCTCACACACACAAACCCACAGAAACAGACACACAGGAACACACAAAAAAACTCACACACAAACACACACCCCTTAAAGGAGACAACCACTACCCTGAAACTCCTGTGGGTACAAATTACCAGGGTCCTCAACTATCGACTCAAACCATGTATCAAATGGCAACATCCAATCTTTTTCTGAAAGGCAAATAACCGCATGCAAATCTAAAACACAAACTTAAATAGCTTGCTTAAACATTTCTAAAAAAGTGCAAGTTCATTTTCTTTCCCAAATAACCTCTTTCAAAATTGCTCTTGAGAAATCTGACTTTAAAATCAGAGCACACAAGTCGTGAGCTGATCAAGAATCTGTGGTGGATCAATGGATTCACCTCCAAGCATATGTCAAAGTTCTCTGACAGGAAACTGATCGAAATTAACAATGTTAACAGTGTCAATTTCCCAAAACCACAGTCTGTCGTTCAAGTCTATTTCCCAGCCCAGAAAAATGCTGTCTGTGCTATATCAGAACAAACAGACTGAAATCTACATAATAAGTATATATGAGACTGGATCCGCCAATCCAACACACCTCAGCTGCGTGTCTTCGGTTTGATCTCTGACAAGCCTGAAATGAATGATAGGTCTCAACAATGTCATCGCAAGAATCAATTTGAATGCAACTCACCCTGATTCTGCCTTCCTGTTTTGTTCCATGTCCAGGACTTGGGCCATTGTTGGGATCTTCACTGAAACATCACGCATCAGACAGGTTGCAGACAGTGTGTGTTAGTTCTTTATTTGAACACAATTACAAATAAGACAGATAAAGTTCTGAATAAGGCACTTTGTCCATAATATTACCTTTAGTTTGAATATTTTCAGGGGAGTTTTTTTTTACAGTTTTCTAGCAAAAGACACAAGCCATTAAGTTTTAGTCATATTTGGATTGAATGCTGAAATGTCTTACGTGCCGAATATATCATCATGCAATGTAACCTCATGTTAGTGAGGAGTGTCACTTTATCCTCACTGGGACGTACAGAATGCACCGGAACTGACAACTCAAACCCAGGTTGGTATGAGCTGTCTCAACAGTAGCCCTCTCTCATTAAATGTTGGGGGGTATCAGTGAAACATGCACTGCCTGCTGCTGTTTTAGATCTGATTCCTTCTGGTCACCAAGGACTGTGTAATCAGAGAGGAGCCATGGACATTTTTAACAAGCCAAATATAGTCACAGGTAATATTTCCAACATGAAGTTTAACCAATCAAAACAGAAAGGTTAATTTCATCTTTATCAGTTCACTTAGTGAGAATGTCACTGGGACCGATGGTTTCACTTTTACCGTGAACAGAGAATGTGAACCTAATGGGCCAGGATTTGTAACACAAGTAATATCAGTGATGTCCTGTCATTTGACTGTGATGCAAGCCGATGATGTAACACTGGTGCAGTTAAATCTCCAGGGGAGGCCCGTCTTTGATGATAGCCCTATCACATGAACTCAAACTGCACAGTACCTCTGAACTTGAGGCTCTTCCAGTACTGCTTGTGGACATCCAGGACGTCACAGATGGTTCGGACAGCGCTGAAGGAGAGAACACCATGACATGTCATACAAACTGGCACATACTGAGTGAGATCATTCAACAACTATTTCAAATGTAGCTGACATATATTACGGTGTATCAACTTAACATCGGAGGAGAGACATATAGCTGGAATATTGCTGTGGGGTGTAAAACTAAATTCAGTGGGAGGAAAGCTGATAATGACACAGAGCTTTGATGTGCATCATATGTTGAGGGAAACTGATGAGTAGGTATGGTGCTAGACTTGTCTCTAGGGTAATAATTAATAGTTATAATGATATTGTTCCCAAAATGTAAATATATGACTGACTGGGGTCCTTACTGTACTGTCCCCGTATCTAGACTTGCCTCTTTAAAGGATAGAATTACTATACATACATGGGCTAAGCATTCAGTACAGCCTTGGAGCAAGGCTAGAATCTAGAATAGTGCTGAATAATCAAAAACTAAATGTAGCAGCTGATGCGACCAGAGCTGATACCAGACAGGACCAAGACACTGGTGCTGGATATTTCTTACTGAGTAGCATCACAGAGGATTCAAAATTCACAAATGTGAGAGCTTCATATTCCTTAGCAGGTTTTGTATATCTGTCTGTTGTTGAACTTTTCAATATTAGATTTCTGAGATGGTGGTCTGAAGATGATCTCTCTGGGTCAGACAGTGACTGGCATTATGAACATCAATGTACACATTAGGGATAAAATGATCTGTCTGTCTGTCTGTCTGTCTCTGTCTGTCTGTCTGTCTGTCTCTCTCTCTCTCTCTCTCTCTCTCTCTCTCTCTCTCTCTCTCTCTCTCTCTCTCTCTCTCTCTCTCTCTCTCTCTCTCTCTGTGTCTCCCTCTCTGTCTCTCTCACGCTCTCTCTCTCTTCTCTGTCTCTCACTCTCTGTCTCTCTCTGTGTCTCTGTCTGTGTCTCTCTCTCTGTTTCTTCTCTCTCTCTCTCTCTCTCTCTCTGTCTCTCTCTCTCTCTCTCTCTCTCTCTCTTTCTTCTCTCTCTCTCTCTGTGTCTCTCTGTCTCTCTCTCTCTCTCTCTCTCTCTCTCTCTGTCTCTCTCTCTCTCTCTCTCTGTCTCTCTCTCTCTGTCTCTCTGTCTCTCTCTCTCTCTCTCTCTCTGTTTCTTCTCTGTCTCTCTCTCTCTCTCTCTCTCATTCCCCACTTGTATCACATCTTTATTCCCCACTTGTATCACATCTTTATTCCCCACTTGTATCACATCTTTATTCCCCACTTGTATCACATCTTTATTCCCCACTTATATCACATAATCTAATTCAGAAAACAAGTCAGCGTCTATCAGAACTCAGTGGAAATACATCAGTACCCAGATTTCTAAAAAGACTTTTGTTGAAGGGCCTTTGTATACAATCATGGCGTAGTGATGAGTCTGGAACTGAAGATCAACTACCCAAACAATCACGGTTTACACTTCCCTCTGTGTTTATTCCACCACATTTCTCTGTAGCACACAATCAACCCACATCACAAGACACATGAAGGTCTGGGCATCAGCAGTGCCACCAATGACTTGTCTCACGGACATTTCAACCACAAACAATTGTAGTTTTCCTACTTATCCTCATGTTTCTGTTTACATTAGGAACAAACGTCACGATCTTCTCCTGATGTCTGGAATCATTGATGGTGAAACTTATTGACATTTATCATAAAAGACAAGCTATGATGGTAATTGATGCCAAATCTGACAATGTAATCCTCAGGCTGTGGTTTGCAAGGGGTTAACACAGGGTCAGCATCAGCAAGGGGAGGTGAGGTGAGGTGAAATTGGGTTTAACTTCGTGCTTGAGAATATTTCGCTCATATGACGAGGTGCATGCGTGTGTATGTGCATGTGCGGCTGCTTGTACTAGCCCAGACTGAAGCTGGTTTTATAGTGCTAGCCCACTGAGATACCATGCCGCAGTGAAGCATGAATACCCCACTCAGAAACATTATACTGACTCCGAGCCGACCAGTCCTTTTTGTACCCATTAATGCCGAGCGCCAGGCAGGGACCAACAAGTACATTTTAACGTCTTTTGTTATGATGCGGTTGGGGATCAAACCCGCAACCTTCCGCTCTCCGGGCGGATGCTCTAACCACTACAACACGGAGGCGGTCGCATCGGCAAGGAAACATCTTCATCTATCAGACGGGTTAATTCATGTGCATAAGACACAACCAAAGAAAACCACTGCCCCAGAAGGTTCTGCTGTCACTAAAACTCCATACTGCTCAAATAAAAGCTTGTTCTCCGTGGTAGGGATATCAATTACACCATATAAAGCCAACGTTTTTTAAAAGAAATTGCTAAATGTTGAGCAAAGAACTTCCAAGATCAATGTTGGTGATTTTTACAAAATGTAAGACAGATTTGCTGATCACCAGGTTTACAAGAGCAAAACATGTAAGGTCCATGCTTTCTTTACCAGTTGACATCAATAAAATGGTAGCCATGTTATGAAAGTGTTCAACATAGAAGGCCCTTGCTGTCTTCACATGTAGGAATAAATCAAGGGGGGAGACACAGTATGAAAGTGTTCAACACAAGGCCCTTGCTGTCTTCACATGTAGAAATCAATCAAGGGGGAGACACAGTATGAAAGTGTTCAATACAAGTGTTTGCCACTGATATGGCAAGTCCCCCGCCGCAAAAGAATGGAATATTTATAACATATTTACTACTTTTTAGTTCATGAGATATCACGTTAACAAGAGTTTGAAAAGTGATCAAAGTGTTGTGGTGACCTTGAAAATAAGGGGGAGACACAGTATGAAAGTGTTCAATACAAGGCCCTTGCTGTCTTCACATGTACACATCAATAAGGGGGGAGACACAGTATGAAAGTGTTCAATACAAGGACCTTGCTGTCTTCATATGTACACATCAATAAGGGGGGAGACACAGTATGAAAGTGTTCAATACAAGGCCCTTGCTGTCTTCACATGAACACATCAATAAGGGGGGAGACACAGTATGAAAGTGTTCAATACAAGGCCCTTGCTGTCTTCACATGTACACATCAATAAAGGGGTAGCCACAGTATGAAAGTGTTCAATACAAGGCCCTTGCTGTCTTCACATGTACACATCAATAAGGGGGTAGCCACAGTATGAAAGTGTTCAATACAAGGCCCTTGCTGTCTTCACATGTACACATCAATAAGGGGGTAGCCACAGTATGAAAGTGTTCAATACAAGGCCCTTGCTGTCTTCACATGTACACATCAATAAGGGGGTAGCCACAGTATGAAAGTGTTCAATAAAAGGCCCTAAAGGTCAAGGGTCAACAGACTGGCTCTGGCCTTCCTGGGAATATGGTCCGCCCTGGAAAGTCTATTGCTTGTTCTCCATTGTTGTATAGATTTGTTTGCTACCTATACAAATGATGCTCATGTAAAAATGCATGTGTGTACTAGTCATCTCTTGGTCTGTCTGGCTAAGCCAGCCCGTCAGAACATGGTATCTCTCCATAATGAAGGTTATACTCCACTCAACTCCCATCAAGTATAAAGTGAAAGTCACTTCTCAACTGAAACTCAGGGAGCTGTCTGGAAGGGACAAACTAGAGACTATGTTTTCATACATCACTGACATACATGTTCTCCCTGTTCAGTTACAGTGTTGATACAACATCCAGTATCCTGGACATGATGAACGACTGGTCTGTCATATCGTTGGTGACAGGCTCCTGGCACAGATTACATTAGAAAACATGGTGTGATTGACAGTCAGGAAATATTGCTTCCTCAAGTAGTTAGAGCAGTTGTCTGTCTGCCAACTATGTCATTTCCATCCATGAGCTCTTCAGGTGTGCCAACTATGTCATTTCCATCAATGAGATCTTCAGGTGTGCCAACTATGTCATTTCCATCCATGAGCTCTTCAGGTGTGCCAACTATGTCATTTCCATCAATGAGATCTTCAGGTGTGCCAACTATGTCATTTCCATCAATGAGATCTTCAGGTGTGCCAACTATGTCATTTCCATCAATGAGCTCTTCAGGTGTGCCAACTATGTCATTTCCATCAATGAGCTCTTCAGGTGTGCCAACTATGTCATTTCCATCAATGAGCTCTTCAGGTGTGCCACTATTGAGTATCCCAAGCTATATACTTAATTGTGATCTTTAGGAAATTGATAAATGTGTGAGTAAGTGAATGTCCAACAGTGGAGCATGAACCTTCACACAAAGTGCACAATTCCATGGAATCATGGTATATATTGGTATCCTTATCCTTATGACATCCTTATTAATGAATAGTTTTAGCATTACAGATCACAACAATTAAGCAAAATGGCACCACTCTGGAAAATATTTAGTCCAGAAGAGACAAAACCTGTGACAGAACGCATGTGCCACAATGTTGACACAGTACCAGTTGAACCAACATGCCTACACAGTTATGGCTACAACTGGCACATGCTTGAGCTTACCCCCTGAACCCCCATTTGGAGGTCCCCCAACACAAAGCCAGCAATATCAACACAACCAGAGTGTGACGTCATCAACGCAGCATCCGATACAGGAAAGCTTCTTCTAGATCTACACACTTGTGGCTTTCCTTCCCACAAATAAACTATGTGATTTACAAAAACATCACAGATGTCTCCATGAAATAAACAACAGCCACATTGGTCTTGGCTGGCTGAGTAGCCTACTCTCTCACCTCAACACAAACAGTTGGCATTCTGGTATTATCATTGCAATATGAAGACGTTAGACAGTGGGTTGCAATATGAATATGTTAGACAATGGGTTGCAATATCAATATGTTAGACAATGGGTTGCAATGTGAAAGATGTTAGACAATGGGTTGCAATATGAATATGTTATACAATGGGTTGCAATATGAATATGTTTGTTGCAATGTGAAGATGTTAGACAATGGGTTGCAATATAATATGTTATACAATGGGTTGCAATATGAATATGTTAGACAATGGTGAGGTGAGGTGAAGTTGGGTTTAACGTCGTGCTTGAGAATATTTCGCTCATATGATGACATGCATAAGTGTGTG